ATAAATTCAAATTAAATTCTGATGTCTATAACATGAATACTAGACAAAAATATAACTTCCACCTACCCTCATCAACTTTATCAGTATATCAAAAAGGAGTCTACTTTACTGGCATAAAAGTGTTCAACAATCTGCCACAAAGTATTAAAAACTTGGGCAATGATACTAAAAAGTTTAAATCAGAGTTAAAGAATTATCTACATGCTCATTCCTTCTACTCTTTAGATGAATACTTCAATGTAAATAGAGAATGATGTAAAATTAAGTTACATTAATTTTTAATCTAAAATTGCCTGTACTTATGTATGTAACCTTTTGACTTGTTCTGTATCCAAAGGTACTAACCTGCTTAGGATTTATAGAATGTAAATAAATTCAATTCAATTCAATACTATCAGTTGATATGACCATAATTATGTTCATTCATATCAGGTGAACCCAAATTTCACACTGACTGAAAATCTGACACTTACTAAACTGCCTCCCGATGGTGACGAACCTGAAGATGGAGCTGCAAGCGTCGCTATTGGTTGGGGGTCTACCTGTGTGAGTTCCCTACTCTATGTAACTTTAATTCTTGTGTTTTAGTGTAACTGTATTAAAGGAGGGTTTTAACTGTTGCGCCAAAAACACTGTGGTGTAATTTCTTCATATTTACATTTTGACTAACTCTTGGCTGTGCAGGCTGTTGTAAATAAAATTCATTACATGCATAAATGAAATAATTTCTCAGTTTTATTAATGTGAAAATTAGTTCTGCGAAGGTTTGCAGAATGAGGAATCAGCATAATAAACTTTAGTGTCTGTCTGTTCACTTCTGAAATCTGTTTCCTCATTCCTGAATAAAATTCTAAAAAGAACTACATCCAGTAGCTGACAATATGAAGGTCAATATCCTATGTTTAGAATGGTTATAAACCAGATATGACCAAACTGTACCTCATGAACCACATGCCGCTCAGTTAAACCATTAGTACGGCTGCTGGAAAGCAATATTATTCAATCCCTTCTTATGAATAAATTAAGTACAAAAACACCTATGCCATTCAATCTATGCATGTTTGTGACGAACAAATGTCTGAAAATTATCGTATATGACTCCAATGTTCAGCAAGTCTGGCCACTCCAGTTGTATAACAATGAATCATTTTGTACAGTATGGATGTGCTGGACAAACTAACCTGCAAAAGGTTAACTTGAGGATCTTCTCACATGAAGATTGCCTGGAGGCCTATGGTGATGGACCCACAAGAGACATGGTTTGCTCAGGTGTTCCGGAGGACACGAAAGGAGTCTGCAGTGTAAGTATGATGAGTGTTCCAGACTGAGAAAGAAGAAAAGAAAAAAAAAAAAAGGAAAGAGAACAAAATATTAATATTACTGAAATGTTTCAAAACCTTTGCTTAACAGCTTCATATTTCATATTCAGAAAAATGTTTTCAATAAAATTAAATCACTCTCAAACTTACTTATTATGGTAAAGTTTTCCCTGTGCTTAACTGATGAAGCACCACATCATAAAGTAATTTGGGGGAGTGGATGTATAGGTCCAAGTTTTCTGACCTCATTATTAGTTGCAAATCATTTTAAATTGTCTTTACTTACTTATGGAGGTGAGCCCTTCTTGAGAAGCCAAATCTGCAGCTACTCATTTCCCAGCATTTTATGGAACTCGAAGGTTCATTACCGTGTTCACAAGAGCCATCCACTGATCCCTATCCTAAGCCAGATCTATCCAATCCACAGCATCCCATCCTATCTCTCTAAGATCCATTTTAATATTGTCCTCCCACCTATGCCTTGGTCTTCCCAGTGGTCTCTTTCCTTCTGGCTTTCCCACCAATATCCTATATGCATTTCTTGTATCCCCCATTCGTGCTACATGACCTGCCCACCTCATCCTCCTTGACTTGATCATTCTAATTATACTTGGAGAAGAGTACAAGTTATGAAGCTCCTCATTATGCAGTTTTCTCCAACCTCCTGTTACTTCATCTCTCTTCGGTCCAAATATTCTCCTCAACACCCTGTTCTCAAACACCCTCAGTCTATGTTCCTACCTTAATGTCAGAGACCAAGTTTCACACTCATACAGAACCACTGGCAAAATTATAGTTTTGTATATTTTAATTTTTATGTTTTTGGACAGGAGACAAGAAGACAAAAGATTCTGGACTGAATGGTAGCAAACATTACCTGAGTTAAATCTCCTCATAATTTCCTCTTGAATCAGGTTTTGATTTGTTATCGTCATTCCCAAATATCTGAACTGTGCCACATTATCAAAACATCTGTTTCCTACCTTTATGTCATGATTTTGCTCTACATTTTGGTGATGAGACAGCAACATATACTTAGTTTTCTCTGTGTTTACTTCAGACCAACCTCTTTACTTGCGTCAGTTAAAGTTTGTGTGTTTTTCCTTTATGGTATCCACATTATCATCCAGTGGATTCACATCATCGGCATGGACCAACAGCTGATGTGTCCCATTTAATTTCAGTCCCACCTGGTTTCCCTGGACCTTCCTAATTACATATTCGGAAGCAAAGTTGAAAAGGAGTGGCAATAAAGCATCTCCTTGTTTTAGACCATTCTCGATAGGAAAATTACCAGAGAAATGTTTATCTATACAGACTTTACTATACGTTTCGTTCAGACACATTTTAATCAGTCTAACTAGTTTCATGGGTACCCCAAACTATATGAGAATACTGTACAATACTTCCTTCCTAACTGAATCATAGGCTTTCTTGAATTGCTGAAACAATGTTCCTGAACCAAGTACAATTGAAGAAATGAAAACATATACTCTTAAGTCATTAAATGCCCAACAGTTACTATTGTGATGCATAGCTAAGTAATGGTTAGCTAAACACGTTATTACAGGCTTATCTGGCATGATGCAGGTGTGAACAGCAGTGATGGGACCCTCAGAAGTGGTGATCTCTATTGGGTTGTCTAGCATCTTATAAAAGGCCATGCATTCGTCAACAGCTGAAGTGTTACCAAGCAATGACTAAGCAAGCAGATGTTGAATACTTTACTTTATATGCTATAGTTACAGTAATCTTGAGCAGCCTCCATAGTCTAGGGGTAACGTTTCCACCTCATGACTCAAGGTACACGGGTTCAAACCTGGCGGAGGTCGTGGAATTTTTAAGGGTGGAAAAATTCAGGGACCAAGTCCTCTGGGAGGTACTGTAAGCCATGGGTCCTGTGTCGTAGATTTACGGCATGTAAAAGATCCTCATGTCTCTAGGAGACCTCTTAGCAAAATTAGGCAAAATGTTTCCCACCCAAGTAGTTTCCAATGCCTCCAGTAGATGGGGAAGTTATCGGGTACCAATGCCAGTAGAGAGCCGACCTCGCAGGCAGAAAGGGGAGAGTTATTGTTGGGTACCACTGCCAGTAGAGGGCCAACCTCACTGGCAGAAAGGGGAGATAGCAGGCACCAGTATCGGTAGGGTATGGCGACAGTAGATATTAAAGGGGGACGTACAATAGACTATTAGTCGCGGTGCATGGGGAAACCCACCCCCTCTATACTGAATAACTGAACTGAATACAGTAATCTTTTGAGTGTTATACTGTAATTACTTGTAGTTATGACTTGCGAGTATCCAATAAATCCAGTCACCAAATCTAGAACCCACTTCACGCAAACACCATATGTATGATATTATATTATACTAAACGCATAATTTTCAGGGGGACTCTGGTGGTGCTCTTCTTGTTGACGGTGTCCAGATTGGCATAACCTCATGGACAAGGATCCCTTGTGCAGAATACCCTGCTGTATGGACCAAGGTTTCTCATTATCGTGATTGGATTGCAGAAAAGACAGGAGTGTAATCTATTCCAGTATCGTATATAATTGCTACTCCCTACAATTATCCATAATTGAGAGATCAACTTCCATCAATACAGTGCTTTGCTGTGTCCACTAGCCCACGACTTGAGATATAAACACACACTATTTTAGCTGATTGAATTGTAACATTTGTGGTTGAAACTGTAATTAAATTATTTCACTGGAAACTGTTATGTAAAATGAAACAGATAAAACTCATTAAACTATCCACATTTATTAAAACAACCTATACAGATGACACAATAATCTCTGAATAAAGAGAATAAGACTGACTCCACATCCCAAATATTATCCTCAGCAACCTGTTCTCAAACACCCTCAATTTCTGTTCTTTCCTTATGGTGAGAAACCAAGTTTTATTCTCAGATAAAACAACAGGCAAAATTATGGTTTTATATATTTTGGTCTTAAGTTTCCCAAAAGATTAAAACATTCTCAACTAAGTGATAGCAACATTCCCACCTCATGACTCGTAGTACGCGGGTTCAAATACCCGGCGGAAGTCGGCGAATTTTTAAGGGCGGAAAAATTCAGGGAACAAGTCCTCCGGGAGGGACTTTAAGCCGTGGGTCCCGTGTCATAGCTTTACGGCACGTAAAAGAACCTCATATCTCCAAAGGAGGTCACTGAGCCAAATTAACGGACATTTCCCGCCCAACAGCAGTCTCTAATACCTCTGGTAGATGGGGGAAACATTATAGATACCTCTCAGCTAGTAGAGCCAGTCTCGCTGGCTGGGCGGGACTGATGGTAAGCACCAGTACCGGTAGGATACAGAGACTGGTAGAAATCATAAAGGGAAGCACAATGGACCAATACAGGTCTCAGTGCATGGGGAAACCCACCCTCTCCAATAACTAACTAAGTGATAGCAAGAATTCCCTGAATTTAATGTGCTCTTAATTCTATTGTAAATACAGTAGTCATTTGTTTCAAATTATCTGCCACCTTTGCAATCAATATTCTCAAACAAAAATTTAAAACATAATTAATTTTCTATTTATCCGTATGTGTGTGTATCCTAATCATTTTTAAATATCTGGCATTTCTTCATGAAACGTTACATACTCATATCATGCCACTAGGGGTCACTTTTTCATACTTCTTAATATCCTGTCATCAGTGTTACCAACATACAGGGCTATGCAAACTTCTAAGGTGGGAGCGACATTAAGTTTCCCAAATTTTAATGTGGTACTGGATATTCGGGCCTACACAAATTCCAGGTGACAGATCGTCATGGCATCTAAAATTTTCGTTACGGCATTTTGAATGTTCTCCCCATTACATTACTACTAGCCCATGATTCAACAAAGATGATGGAAAAAATATTCCGTTAAGAGTATCAAGCGTGAAGCTCCTTATCAAGGATTTTATACCCACTGTATCTTGATAGGGGTTGATAGACAGACTGGGCACAGAGTTTTCAGGCCAATGCAACCTTCGATTTCCAGCTGAGCTCCATGCAAGATTGTGTTTTTGAGATGTGCTAACTACAATAACCAGCCTGATTTCCTTATATCCATTTAAAACACACCACCACATCACACTCAGAACATTTCATACAGTCATTACAAAATGCAGAATGTGTGAAATACCAAACATGTCTGAATGATTATTATGATGCAGAGTGGGCCAATAAAGAAAACACTAACTAATAAGTATATATATCTGATTTACCGCCATTTCTCACATTGACTCTGACGATGGAGGCAGAGAACATGTCTGAAAAGTTCTTAATTAAACTTTCATGTGATTTTTTAAAGGGCTGTGCCATAGCTCAAGCGGCTAGTCGCTGGCTTCCCACCGCGGCCGCCCGGGTTCGATCCTCGGTCTTGTAACGTGGGATTTGTGGTGGACGAAGTGGCGCTGGGGCAGGTGTTCTCCGAGTACTTCGGTTTCCCCTGCCAATCTTCATTCCACCATCTGCTCCACAATCAACCTCACCTATCATCTGGGGCTGGTACAACAGGCCAGAAGTGGCCGCAATACAAGGGACTTAGTCCCACCCCACTAGCAATAAAAAGAAACTTTCATGTGGCTGACGGCCAGAGAAGATTTAGTGAATTTACTGCTTGAAAAGTTTTAAATCTTACATGGTTTTTATGAATCTATAGCGACAGTGATCTCATTAACACAACATAACCTATGTACTTGATACAGAATCATTAAGGTAACTAAAATAATTCTGTAACAGCTCAAACCATACTGTCAATTTTAACATACAAATTATGGTAAGCTCTATTTCAATGGGCCTTAGCAACAGAATGTTCATACCAGAAAATCAGTCTATACTCCATAATTCCAAAGTGTTATCTTCCCATCAATGTTTAAAGTGATGACTGGACTTAAAAATCGCTTCAAGAGCTCAGAAAATATAGCTCACTGCTAATACATTTTTTAAAATATACAGATAAGATAACGTGAAGATTTCTGACTCATACTGCTATGGCGGCAAACACTTGCATCTGCTTACACAGAAACCAATGGAACCTCTATTCCACTGTAGCATCTGAATATTCTTCAGCTATGAACTTCCCACACTGAACAATAAAGACAAAATTATTTGCAAGCCCATTTCATAACAAGGTGAAATATCTATTCACGTTTTCCAATCAGTATATTAATTTTTCATTAGCTAATCATCAAGGGTTTGGTGAAAAATGGGGTAGCTCAAGTTGATTTACATAGTTTTGTATGTGTAAACAATAAGTTCTCAGAACAACTAATTGCCTACTTTCCTTGTTACAACACAGATCATATAGAAAACAATACGTCCAACAATTCTTTTACTGTTGCATGTGTATTGCTGCCGCAGTAAGATTTTTACAGAGCCATTGCATGGCAACAATAGCGGTATTCTTACCGAGCCACTGGTTCACCAACAGTGAGTTTTGAAATTCATAACTGGGGTGGTTTAGTCGAAACAGGTGACTACACTAGGGCTGACCAAATGAAGAACTGGCACTTGATTCTGAGAAGGGCAGACATTTTTACCTTATCCACAGAATCCAGACTGGCCTGGAGACCCATAGATTCTCCCATCTTCTGGATACCAGATGTTCTATCCCCCAGAGTCTGCTGGCAGAACCTGAAGCTGACCATTTGCCTCCATTCAGTTCAAGGTCAATGTGCGAAACATCTCTACTCCCCAGTACATGGCACAGTACTTATTACACACAAAGACTTTACCTTTACCGTATCTGTAATAAATCAAAACATAGAAACTTTAAAACAAAATCTTACGAATTCACTTGGATAAAAGTGTCCCACACAAATTTATAAAATTATTCACTTTATGTACTGTTTGAAAAAATGTACAAAATGAGTGTGTAATGGAGAAGTCACATCAGTCACTCATCAGTCAATGCATTTCAATGACATATGGTATTCCAGGTCTATACCAAAAGTTGAAGAGTCCTATCTTCTTGGATACAATGCTATGTAGTTTTCTGAAAGTCAACCAATGCTTCATAGCAACCTACTGCCTCCATTTTCAGGGCTGAAGAGTAAGCTAAGCAAGAAAAAATCATGAAGCAGGCAGCAACATAGAACACAGAACTCTTCATAACTACCAATGTGAGAGCCTGAAATCCTGCAATAAAAGCTGCCATAACATTTAATTTTCATCCACTCTAATCCTCACTTATGAGAATGGAGAGCTGTCAGGAAAGTAATTACATATGCACTGGACAAGTGGGATTACATTGCCAGTAACAGCGATAAGTTCATCCTGAGAGACTGTGGGACTCGCCAACTTTCTATCCAAGGCATACCAGCAGCTCCATTTAATGGGGGTGAAATGACTATAGCATGAAGCTATACCTCCATTACCATTATATATTATACAACAGTGGTTTCCAGATTTTTTGAGTTTGTAGTACCTTACTCCTTGCTGTCATGGTGTTGTCTGCAGATCACCAGGAATAATTGCTTATTTTATGATGCTATTCAAAGTAGACACAATATTATTAGCTGAATATATATCATATTATTCATATTTTGTTGCATACTGTTGTGAAAATTACTATATATAGTACTTAATTTATTCTTACCAAAACAACACTATTTTCATCAGATGCAGTTGCTGTCCAGGACGACATGTTTTGGCACATGTGTGCCATCTTCAGGTCAGAACGGAACAAGGGAAACATTTGAAGAGGACAGATAGTGTGTGTTCGGTGCTGCACATTCACATAAAGCATTCAAATTCTACAACTTCAACAAAAAGAATCTACAATGTTAACCAGTGCATAAAAAGCCAGCCCACTACACTATATACGATATAGTATAAAGAGCATATAACACACAACCTGATCCACTTGGGGTTACACCCAAGCTTGCACTAAACATAGGTAAAAGGTAAAGTTGTCCCTGCACTTAATTAACTAAACACTACACCATGAAGGCATATGGGGTAGTGGATACAATAAGCATATGATACATTAATTGTAACTAGAAACAGGACTATCAATGAACTGCACGGAAAGGTCGCGCCATAGCTCAAGTGGTTAGTCACTGGCTTCCCACCGCGGTGGCCCGGGTTCAATCCCGGGTCTGGTCAAGTGGAATTTGTGGTGGACAAAGTGGTGCTCCGGCAGGTTTTCTCTGAGTACTTCGGTTTCCCCTGCCAATCTTCATTCCATCAAATTCTCCATCATCATAATCACCTGGGGCAGGTTACAATAGGCCAATCAGTGACCACCGTGCCAAGTGGACCCAGCTGGACTCCACCCTTCACTAACGAATTAAAATAAAATGCATGGAATCATATCCCAAAAGACAGAAATCTTAATAAAGAAATCAGTTTATACTTTGAATTTGGTTCGTATATACACACAAAAAAAAAAGAAAGGCAGACAGGCAGTCTGATTTTAATAAATGCTTGTAGGATTATGAGCACACCTAAATATCAGCATTAAGTAAACACAATTATCAGACAAGGGCATGGTAAATGTAATCCTCTACTGCTCATGTCAGGCAGTGTTAATGTTGATATTCATACAGCTGGAGAGGTGTACTCTAAATCAGTGTGTGTGCACATCAGCCTGAAGCATCATGAACATCGCTGTTGCAGTTCTCGGTACTCTAGTACTTGGGTGCCTTCGTAAGTCCATATATTATCTATACTATTTCTGAAGACATATTAATGCTGGTATTATATTAATAAAAGAATGGCCCCTATGAAGGATAATGTCTTTTGGGATGTGACATTATAGAGTCCAGTAGAAGTTCGCCAACATTTTGAAAGAACATTGTGAACTTCTACCAGAATGCACGGCATCACACCCTCTTTGTGGTCACTGTCACAAGAACCTCAAATCCCCTTGTGCTCCCAGCAGAATAATTTGTTTCATGACTCTCATTTTTCAGAACAATAATTCACATTTTCAGTTTCCATGTCAATATTTTCAACATTTCAAAAAAGTTCCTTATACAACATTTTAAAGTATATTAACAACAATCTTTAAATATTCCAAATTTTCCACGTTGCTCATGTGTTACCAACAAAAGAAGTGAGGACCTGCAGCCTAGTTCTTATGCTCCAAATTTTCCTAGCATTTATTCACACTGTGCTCAAACTATAAAATTATGATTCAACACTAAAATGTTCTTTATACTGTTTCAGGGTTACACAACAATGTAAAAGCAGATGACCGACATGATACAAGGATCATAGGTGGGGAAGAAGCCCCATCAGAATCTCAAGTGGTGTGTTATTTCATTTCGTTATGCTCTAAGTAATAATGTCAAGCATTCAAAGACACAGTAGATCCTGGTTACTGAACAGCACCAAAGTCTCAAACCACCAACAATACATTCCAGGGATATACTATCATAGACACCACAAATTTCATCACAGTTATCAGGTTTCAACAATGTAATACAGTGCCGACTACCAAAACAACAACAGTTTCTTACCATCAATAACACCAATATATCAGCCTAGCAAAGTTCTGCAGTGGGGACACATAAGCGCTGCTTAATGTATGGAAGTGACATTATTTATGTCAATAGATCTTCAGAAATACTTCAAATTTTTGTTAATATAATTTCTTAGAATGTAGTACAATGCGGCTGCCATGAGAAATGTATATTTAGCTTCCCATTTGATGGTAGTATTTTTCTTTATTGCTAGTGGGGTGGGACTAAGTCCCTTCTACTGCAGCCATTATTCACCTACATTGGCTGATGTTTAAAATCTTTACAATTTTTAGGGGAAGGTTATCTTGTATCTTTATTTTCATTTCCATTGATCCTTACTGGCTACCAAAGCCATTTGATATATAACACGTCACAATTTATATACATTAGTTCTGAGAACAGAAACTAGTACTCTTACAGTCACATTCATAAAAGGAACAATAATTATACAATTCAGTAATTTAACAACATGTACAATTCATCAACTAGATATTAATATCTTATTAAACTCGTTCCTTAAAAATATATATATACAAATATCAATTGAAAGTCTTTTATACAATATACCATATAAACAGCATTATAAAAAGTTTAGTTCATCTCGTATTTAAAATACTCATCCAACATATAAAATGAGTGGGGATACAAGAAAAATTTTAAGGCCACTTTAAATTTTTTTTGTATTATGGGAGAGATCTTTTATTGGAACAGGTAAGCTGTTAAAACACCTTAATCCAAGCATAATAAGTTCCCTTCTGAAAAACTGACAGATGAGATGACAGACGGTGCAAATCAGATATGGTCCTAGTGTGTCATTATGGTATTATACTATCTCTAGTTAATATGCAAGCTTAAAATATTAGATAAAATTTAGTTTAAATTTTAAATTAAGTTAAAACAATATAAAAAATAGATATTTATTATTGTTATCAATTAAAATTTATCTTGTTTGTAGCTTTTAAATGTCACTGGCTTCCTGGTCACTCTCAACCAGTCCGTATTACATATCACAGTATAACTTTGTATGCCAGCACATTTATCTATTATTAAAGTTTTAGCAGTCATTATTGTTGTCGGATCACAGTGTGCTTGTGTGGATACATGTGCACTATTTTTTGTGTGTAGTGGAACAAGGTCTTCACTTGTGAGATATATAAATATATAATATATAATATATACAGGGTGTCCCAGGAGGAATGTGCCAAACTTCGGGAGGGTGTTCCTTATGTTAAAGTATGCCGATAT